TTTGAGAGAGAGAGAGAGAGAGAGAGAGAGAGAGGGAGAGACAGTGTGTGTGCACATTCAAGTAGGTGAGGGACAAAGGACGAGGGAGAGAGAATCTCCAGCAGGCTCCGTGCCCACCGCAGAGCCCCATGTGGGGCTGATCTCACAACTCTGAGATCATGACCTGAGCCAAAATCAAGAGTCAGACACTTAACTGATTGAGGCACCCAGGCGCCCCCAGGTGAAACTTCTGAATTGAATTTCACAACAGTTTGATATAAATTACTAGCAGTATTCTAATTTATTGTATCTTTTCCTTCACTTTATGAATCTGAATTTTATATAAATCTTAGCTTCTGTCAGTTGTACTTTTTTTTTTAACTATGGAATTCTTCGTGAATTTGCATGTCATCCTTGTTCAGGGGCCATGCTAATCTTCTCTGTATCATTCCAGATTTAGTGTCCTGTGCTGCCAAAGTGAGCAGTGTCAATTTTAGTTTTATCAAGAACTATTAGTTGTACTTTAAAATGCAGTCTTTTTATGGGATTTTGGCAAATGTATTTCTTTTTACGTTTATGTAATTGTGGTTCTTTCAGGTATGGCTTTTGGAGTCCAAGAAATGAATAAAGTGATTTAAAGTTGAATGATTCACAGTATATTTTACTCATTTCCTGAGTCTTAAGTATCCCATAAAATTAAAATAAAACCATTCTTTGTTTACCTAAGGAGCACCTAACTCAGATGAGCTTTCCTTGACCTGGAACAAGATAAGATGTGGACTGATAATCCTATATATTTAGGCCCTTTCTTTCTAAGACATAAAACTTTCTTAGAATCCCGATATAGAGATTCCTTAATGAAATCAGTGTTCAGCTCTACCCTCAATAGATTTCTGTGGATAGATTTGAAATGCCATTAGTCAAAGTGGACCCACTGACTTCTATTTCCAATGTTTATTTCAATTTTTTTTTATCTTTCCTGGTGATTCTTTTAACAGTTGAATGAATGATTCAATTTCCATTTTTATTTTATTTGCAAATACAACAAAAATTAAAAAACAGGGATATATCTAGGGGCTTGAAAAGTTTCATTATTTTTCCTTTCTTTAACTGCATTATCAATTTTGAAAATGAAATTTTGATAGTTAAAAAATACTTTGCGGGGGGCGCTTGGGTGGTTCGGTTGGTTGAGCATCCACTTCTTGATTTCAGCTCATGTCATGATCCAATGGTTTGTGGCATCAAACCCCACATCAGGGTCTGTGTTGACACTGAAGAGGAGCCTGCTTGGGATTCTCTCTCCCCCTCTCTCTCTGTCCACCCCTGCTCAAAATAAATAAATTAAAAAAATATACTTTTTCTCTTATTATTTTTGAAAGCCTATTAAAGCTTTATACATAAACCTTTTAATAGGCTAAATGTAGGATTTAGGTTACAAGTTGCTTTCTGAACTAGTAATAATAAACATTTGTGAATCTACCAAATCATGTTAAATATACTTTTAGTATTTCTTGAGCATTTGGTAGACAACAGATGTGAATGTACTTTGAAAACATTTAAGAGTGATAGAAACTTTAAACATGTATTGAGTGCTTTGCTTTATTCATCACACTATAAAAAAACCATAAAGGTGGTATAGAAAATTTAGAGCAAATAGATAGCAGCATTGTTGAAAAGTACTATCTTAGACTCTTCTATTTTAGAGTACCAACGTCAAAAAATTTGGTGCCTTTGTTCAGAAAGTGGTACCTTTCTTTTTGTTTTAGCTCTGAGAAGTCCAAATATGGACGTATCTTCTTCCCCAAATATTGGGCTTCGACGTAGTGGTCAAATTGAAGGTGTCCGACAAATGCATAACAATGCTCCTCGGAGTCAGATGGCCACTGAACGAGATCTCATGGCATGGAGCAGAAGAGTGGTGGTCAATGAACTAAATACTGGAGTTAGTAGGTGAGTCAATAAGGTAACATTCATAAGAAAATTGAGAGCTTTATAGTTTAGTTAATAAATTTTAATAACTAAGGTAGTTTTTAATCAAACTGAGTTTTATATTAGTTTTTTCTACATTGTTCCAGTTACTTCATTCCATAACAACTATTTAATGATCATCTTCAGTTTGTTTGGCTTTGTGCTAAATGGTTTGGGCAATACTGAAAAATGAAAAACATAGTTTGTCTTCTATGAGTTCATAGTCTCGTTTAGAAGATAAGAATACAAATACTATTAAGTAAGAACATGAGACCATATGTGATTAAGTATGTCTGTGATATATAGGCCCCAAAT